CAAAACGGCTAGCTGTCTTTAGCCAAACAGCAAAGCCAATATGAGCTTAATCAATTATTTGTATTCTTATTATATGATAGTTACTGAGAATCTTTCATAGTATAAAGCGACTTGGCGAGTAAAATATCACTTGCCACAATGTCAAAGCGTAAATAGTGTTTGACAAATCGTAAAATGTACTAAATCTTGTGTACTTATTTTAACTTTGACATCTGCTTACTGTGTGTGAATTTGCTTATTTATACTCGCCACCGGTTGCCCATCTGGGCGAGTGCCAATATGGGCGAGTCATCCAGAAGAGTACAAGTCATTTTAGATTTTGGAGGATAGTGCAATTACAGATATAAAAAGATGCCCCGATTCCAGAAGCTTCCCCTTCTTTAACGTGCCAAGTTCTTTTAGCACCCATACACGGGACCTCGATTTAAAGTATCATCCGAAAGACTGATCAGTAATTTTAGTTCGCCAGCCCGGGAATAGAACCAACAAGGTCGAGGTTACAAGTCTCGCGCTCTATGCGGGCTGGCTGCTTACAAAAATTTCGGTGCATATAATCGTAAAATTCGCTCATATCTAGCACCCGACTGCGGATCGATTACTACATGATCAAAGAGTACTACATGATATTTTTTTCGATTTTCGTATTGACCGTGCATTTCATACTATGTTTTTCACGTGTTTTCCGTTTCTGTTAAAATAAAAAAATTGCCTTGATATTCAATCAATATTTCAGTGAATATTTGTGATGTTTTTTTTTTTTGAAAATATAAAAAGGGAGATATTTTAGAAAAAATACTTTTCAGGGTCATCTGTCCTTTAGAAATGCATTAGTACTTTCATATGAAATAAGTATTTTAAGTTTAAAGTGAATATGTTTGAAATTAGCCGTAACCAAAAGGTTAATCAGAGCGAAAACATCTTAGAGAAATAAGGGGAATAACTTTGCAAAATATAACTAGGATTATCTGCCTTTTGATATTGCATCATATGATCATAGTGAACAACTAAACCACGTTTAAAGTAAATTCGGTAGTTTCTGAGAAAATAAATGAAATTACTTAAACCAAATTCTGAGAGTGACAATACCATTATACCTTTAATCTGTTGTCAATCAGGGTTACAAAGGAAAATGTTAAACAAGAGAAAAATACTTATCTATTGAGAATTTAGTATCAATTATCCTTTCTTGCCTAAAGATTGCATTATATAGTAGCTCAAAACCTCGATATTTATGTTCGTTAAAGAAACCAAGTAAGACAAAGATAATTTTTGTGTAATGTCAATTACAATTAAGATAACTATGAGAATGTTAAAAAGTAATATAATTCTACTTTAAACATGATTTTAACATGAATTTACATCTTGCGACATTTAACGGTAGTGTTGCGACATTTAACGGTAAGGGAAATTCGTGCGACATTTAACGTTAACATTGCGACATTTAACGGCAAATGATTTTGCGACATTTAGCGGCGATTGCGACATTTAGCGTCAATGGTGCGACATTTAGCGACAAGTGCGACATTTAGCGGCGTTGCGACATATAACGGCGCCACAGCTATTACCAAAACTCCTTGAAACCCTAAAAAATTTATTTCGTTTTTAGGAAATATTATTTCGTATTTACGAAATATTAATTCATAATAACGAACTATTATTTCGTTTTTACGAATTAATATTTTGTAATAACGAAATAATATTGCGTAATTACAAAATAATATTTCCTAAAAACGAATTAATATTTCGTTAAAACGAAATAATAGTTCGTTATTACGAATTAATATTTCGTAATTACGAATTAATATTTCGTTATTACGAATTATTATTTCGTAAAAACGAATTAAGTTCCAGGGAAAAAATGGTGGAAAATGTCACCTTAGCCTAAGGGGGCTTCGTAAGAACCCCATTTTTGAAAAATCATACATACATATACAATCGATATGGATAACATATGTAAGACTTTTAAATTTCAATACACTGATCTTTATGTGTGTTATTAGCGTGGCTTAAATTTGAATACAAATGCTGAAAATCATTTACAAGAAAGAAAAAGTTTCCACGAATATGAGCAATGCAGCTATACAAACGTTGTACAGAAAGAGGAGTAACAAATATAATTTACTTAACATATGTTTACGCATTTACTTTCCTTAAGTCGAATGTGATCTTAGAAAAAAAACTAAATATGCCTAAATTGTTCTTCTTAAATTAAGTTAGTTCCTTCAAAGTGCCAATTTCATATTACATTGCACATTTTTTAGACAAATGATATTACGATCAGCTGGAACTGATAGTCTCCGCCTACTCTTTCGTGAACCTGAACTCAACCAGAGCACGACCTGGGGCATGAAAGCTCCAATACGGTCTTTCTGTGACAACACGCGCCCCATGCCGTGCAAGATGCACTCCCGACTCTCGACATCCAGTGGTGGTCAGCAGTCAGGAGTACCCCAGACTTCACGATTAGTACTATTTACAGGTGACAGATGCTACAATTTCCACCATCTTAATATCTAGATATGTACATAGATGTAGAACACACATTTTATTATTTAAAGGGTAAGAAGAAGAAATAATCTTTACAAATTGTTATTTTAAGAACATTGCTTTAAAGGATGTTTACAATTAATTTCATTGATTTGTAGCAATCTATTTATGTAAACATAAACTTCAGACTATTTTGTAAATGAAAATGTAAACCTATGGAACGCCCTGACTGTCTTATGCTATCAATATTTTTGCTATCTTCTGAAATGATGATATTATTTTGTCATTTAAGCATATTAACATGTGCAGTGTACATCATATCTTGTCTACAGACAATGCTGACTTGTTCAAACAGCATGTTAACTTGTCAAATAATCATTATGACATGTGCAGACAACATGTTAACATGTCAACGTATCATAATGACTTGTGCAAACGACATGTTAACTTGTCAAAATATCATGATGACTTGTGCAAACGACATGTTAACTTGTCAAAATTTCATGATGACATGTGCAAACAGCATGTTAACTTGTCGAATTATCGTGATGACATGCTCATAATACCTTAACAAGTTAAGATGTGTTTTGCACAAGTCATCACGATTCTTTGACAAATTAACATGTTGTTTGCACAAGTCATCATGATACGTTGACATGTTAACATGTTGTCTGCACATGTCATAATGATAATTTGACAAGTTAACATGGCATTTGCACAAGTCATCATGATTCATTGACAAGTTAGAATGGAGTTTGCACAAGTCATAACGATACCTTGACAAGTAAACATGCTGTTTGCACATGTCATCATGAAATTTTGACAAGATAACATGTCGCTTTCACAAGTCACCATGATACTTGGACAAGTTAGCATGTTGTTTGCACATGTTATCACGATGATTTGACAAGTTAACATACTGTTTGCACATGTTATCATGAAATTATGACAAGGTAACATGGCATTTGCACAAGTCATCATTATACTTGGACAAATTAACATGTCTTTTGCACAAGTCATCATGATACGTTGACATGTTAACATGCTGTATGCACATGTCATAACGATAATTCGACAAGTTAACATGCTGTTTACACATGTCATCATGAAATTTTGACTTGTTAGCATGGCATTTGCACAAGTTATCATAATACTTTGACAAGTTAACAGTACGTTTTGACATGTCAGCATGATACAAGATAACAAGTCATTTGCACAAGTCATCACGATTCTTTGACAAGTTCACATGTTGTCTTCACAAGTCATCATGGTAATTTGACATGTTAACATGCTGTTTGCACAAGTCATCATGATACTTTGACAAGTTAACGTGCTGTTTGCACATGTCATCACGATAATTCGACAAGTTAACATGTCGTTTGCACAAGTCATCATTATATTTTGACAAGTTAACATGGCGTTTGCACAAGTCACCATGACACTTTGACAAGTTAACATGCTGTTTGCACATGTCATCACAATAATTCGACAAGTTAACATATCGTTTGCACAAGTCATCATTACATTTTGACAAGTTACCATGTCATTTGCACAAGTCATCATTACACTCTGACAAGTTAACATGCTGTCTGCACATGTCATCATAATACTTTGACAAGTTAACATGCTGTTTGTACAAGTCAGCATGTTCTTTTGATAAGACATGATGTAAATTGCACATGTTAACATGCTCAAACGACAAAATAATATCATCGTTTCACAAGATAACAAAAACATTGATTACATAAGACAGTCACGGCGTTCCATAGTAAACAGTCATATCAGCATTAGAGGTGTAAAATGTGTTATAATAAACAGGTGTCCCGAAGCTTTTCCGCATGAGCAACAATATATTTATTACGTTACATTGAAAGAAGACTATAAGGAGACATTCCATATGACATCTCTCCGACTCCGAATAGTATACATTTTTTTAAGATTATAAATGACAGCAAATTTCCTTGTAGTCAGGTAATCGTATACTCGGATATAGTTATATATATAACTGTAAAATTTACAAGAAATTCGTCTATTAAACATTTCCACAGTATATGAAAAACTAACGTATGATGAAAAGTTTGTATGTTGAAAATTTGGTAACTGTACCTGTGTAGATATATCTTTAAAAAAATGAAATTTAAAGTCTCATCCATTTTCTTTGGGTCAATATACCCAAAAAGAACTTGTTTTGATAGTTAGTAATCTGCAATATTCGGACATTTAGTTTTAAAATTAATGAAAGTTTTAAAGGTCTGCCAAAAATGACTAAAATATTGACAATAATAGAACAGGTGTTATACAGTTTCGTTTTTTTTCTCTACAAAAAGTGCGCCCCATCTTAGTTTAAATGTGTTTGTTGCCAAGATTCTATTTATTAATTTGTATTGGAAGTATCTTAGGTTTGTTGTATCTGGCGTTATTTGGTTTACACTGGTTGTTTATTTGTTTGTTTTTGTATATTTTCTGTTTCGTGTTCAAAACAAGTAACTAAGTGTTTTTCTCTTCATGACGTAAATGTCATGGCTTATGATTATATAAGGATATAAAAGTACTTGAGAACTGAATTAGAGCGACACATATAACTTGGGAGTGTAAGATGTACTTTAAATGTAATGTGCTTACAATTTTATGTTTTAACCATAAAATTCAGAATAATTGTTAAATAGTTTCCAACTTCATATTTGGATTTTGTTGAATTCCTTTATTTCATTCATAAGATTTGCATTAAAAAATGCAAATTGAAATAATAAAATTGCAAGTTTTGAAATTAATTTCATTTTTTGTCTTCCTATTGATAATATTGGTTCCGATGAAAACAGTTTTGTATTTATTTTGCGAATTCGTGCTGTGTGTAAATACTTATACATCACCTTTATCAATATCCGCGGGAAAGGCTATACCAAAACGTATCCATCAGGTATTTTTCTTTGAAACGAGTTCAACTCTACCAAACGAATTCACGAAGAGTCAACAAACATGCCAAAAACACCATTCATCCTATATGTACACGCTATGGAATAAAACAATGATAAATGATCTTATCGAGAAAGAGTATCCGGAATTTAAGCAGATATACGACAGCTATGATCATTGGGTAAAACGTGTTGATGCTGGAAGATACCTTGTGCTGCATCACTATGGTGGCTGGTACATCGACATTGATATCGTTTGTAAACGCAGGTTAGTTGTCCACACCGTACAATCAAATGGGCAGACAGCTGTTCCAGCGTCCACAGCTGTACCAGTATATACATGTCGGAGCGGGGAATACAATGGACGTACGATAAGTATTCATCTATTTTTAACATATCCAAACTGTGTTCGAGTAAATCAATGTTATGGATTCATAGTCAACATCCAAAGAAGCATGCTAACAAATTTCTGGCCCTGTGCAAGCTTTACTTCACATGAATTTTGACTGAAAATAACCACACTATCCGATGAGATGCGGTATTTTTAGTTTGAAGTCACAAAAAACTTATATTTTCTCATGATAATTAATCCTTTTTTCATCCGATTCGTAAACGTCAACATTTTGTCATTAAACATTCCAAACCATACCTTCAAAAAATATTTTCTGTTAAAGTTTTAAGGTATTTAAGTTTGAGTGTCATCAAAATTTTAGTAACGTCATCAGCTGTTCGCCACTTTTTAATGATAACATTGACAGCAATTCATCGGCAAGGATAAATAACGCTGAAAGCTGTTCAAAGAAACAATTTTCAGCGCTTTTGTGCTACAGTAACTAGGAAAAAGTAAAACTTTTTTGTTCATTTAAAACATTACTTTATTCACGATACTTTCTAATTATATTATTTTTATTATTACTTTCTATCATTTGTTGTATCTTAGCTGAGAGGCCTATATCTCCATTTACCGCACTGTATTTCAATATTGATATTGTTCATATGAATGAATGAATGAGTGAGTGAATGAATGAATTAATTAATGAACGAACGAATGAACGAACGAATGATGCAATATACGTATATGTTAAAACAAATTGTCTGTAGAAAGTATATGAGTTGTAATATTCTAAAAAATACATATTATTCATTCATTTTTCTTCCTATGCATGTCCTGTTGTTGTTGTTTTCTATTTCAGAAGGCCACATTGGAAATAAGATATATATGATTGTTATTGTATGTTATTAATTTATAACCTTCTTTAAATAAAGATATTATTTTTATTATTATTATAATATAAAAAGGTAGCAAGATCTATTAATATGTTTCTGAAATGTTAAATTCAAAGAAAGTAAAGGCAAATTTAACGCTTAATACGAATTCTCTGTGTTATAACTAAATCCATCAAGCGTTATCATAAATAATGGCATATAGTAGACATGTCCCATGCAGTAAATGGATGTGTAACCCGAGTTGTCTGCCATATAAAATGATTTATTTAAAAAATGAAAATTTAAATAATTTTTAAGAATGGCTATTATTTCTATTGCACTATACATTAAAACAGATTTCAAGGATAAATAACAACATGTTTTTACATGCACTTTCATATCTCGGGTTACACAGCCATTCACTGCATAGGACTTGTCCATTATATGCCTTTATTTATAATAACACTTGATGGAGGCCTTCATTTACAAGACTGAATATTCATATAAAGCGTTAAATTTGCCTTTGCCTTTTGACTTAAACATTTCATAAACCTATTACAGGAACTCCACTGAGGTTTATAAGCCTAAAAACATGAAATTTTATTTTTTTCACATAGAAAAACATAAGCACTGAAACATAAATATTAATAAAATATAACCAAGAAATATAGGAGAAATACATTGAAAATCATATGTTTGTGCTATTCGCAGGCCGATTTGAGTGAAAAGCGTTTAAACTCTTTTCAATTTTGGGTCATTTTTTCACTATTATAATATTCTGGAAAAACGGAGCAAGCTAATGATCGGAAATTTTGCACATAAGTTATAATTATAGATCTACATCAAATGGAGAAATAATCTCAAAAAATTATTTCCAGTCCCGTCATGTCAAAAAACCTTAGTGGAGTCCCTTAAATAGATTTTGCTACCTTTTTATATTGAAATACAGTGCGGTAAATGGAGATCAAGGTCTCTAAGCTAAGATATAACAAATAATAGAAAGTAATAATAAAAACAATATAATTAGAAAGTATCATGAATAAAGAAATATTCTAAATTAACAAAAAAGTTTTACTCTTTCCTAGTTACTGTATGACAAAAGCGCTGTTGTTAATACATCTAATTGTTTCTTTGAACAGCTTTCAGCGTTATTCGTTCTTGCAGATGAATTGCTGTCGATGTTATCATTAAAAAGTGGCGAACAGCTGATGACGTTACTAAAATTTTGATGACACTCAAACTTAAATACCTTAAAACTTTAACAGAAAATATTTTTTGAAGGTATGGTTTGGAATGTTTAATGAGGAAATGTTGACGTTTACGAATCGTATGAAAAAAGGATTAATTATCATGAGAAAATATAACTTTTTGTGACTTCAAACTAAAAATACCGCATCTCATCGGATAGTATGGTTATTTTCAGTCAAAATTCATGTGAAGTAAAGCTTGCACAGGGCCAGAAATTTATTAGCATGCTCCTTTGGATGTTGACTATGAATCCATAACATTGATTTTCTCGATTACAGTTGGGATATGTTAAAAATAGATGAATACTTACCGTACGTCAATTGTATTCCCCGCTCCGACATGTATATACTGGTACAGCTGTGGACGCTGGAACAGCTGTCTGCCCATTTGATTGTACGGTGTGTTGTCTCGTATGTTCTAATACCAACAGAAAAATGTCATTCACCATGTTCACTGTAGTTCTGAGTAAGTTAGATTGTTCTGAAGATAGACGTTCCTGAAAGGGTCATATAGATCTACCTTACAGATGCTAATATTTTATTTAACAAAAGTTTTATGTATTCGGTGTCCTTTTTACAGTTTTTACAAAAAAATACTTTTAGCTAGTTCTATCTGTTGCCTTGTTATTAATAACATCTAGTATTTTATATGGCAAATCAACTTTTTTCCTGAAGGTGATAAGTAACTTATATGTTATAAAAAACATTTTACAACACGTGTACCGCCTCCGTGGTCGAGGGGTTAGTGTCGATGACTTCTAATCCAGTTACCTCTCTGGCGTGGGTTCGATCCCCGGGAGATGCTTTGGCAGTTTAGCACGGAGGAAGGTAGTCTAGTACTGGTGTAACTCTCAGGAAACTACCCGCCTATATGACTGAAATGCTGTTGGAAAAAGGCGTAAAATGAAACAAACAAACTAACAATACGTGTATTGATTTTTGAGGTAAATAATTCAGCAGGTACTCGTAAGGTTCTCACAAATAAGGTTAAAGATTTAGGCTATCCTTTTTAATTAAAAAAAAAATCAGAAAAAATATCAAAACCTGACAAGTAGATCTAGATCTCTATATGATTATCGATTGCTAAAAGTTACAAAAAAAGAAAAATTGCACCACGCTAAATTAAAATACTTTGTCTTTTATGTCAGTGTTGACGAATTGTCTGCTGAAGCCAGAGCCAAAAACGCAAGCGTCGTTGTTTATAAAACTAAACCTGTCGGCTTTACAAATGCCGTGATCGGAATAAGCAGGCAGCATCAATATCTTAATGACGTCATAGTTGCATTACGTCATTCAAAGAGATGGTATTTCATTCCGTATCTGTCTACGATGTTTACAACCGGTGAGTCATTTTAATTTTTCAGGTACCTGCATCGAATTGACACATTTTTAGTTTAAATCAGATAACGAATAACTGTTATCTATTATAACACCCTCGCTAATGTGTCACAAAACATAGTTTTGGTGCGGGTGGGTGTTAGAGCCATATAGGAATCAATATTTTCCGTCCTGTCTGAATTATAATTTGAAGCTTGAAAGATCAATGCAATATCACAATGAATGATAACTTGTTATGTTATGTAACTCTCTAAACTGACATAATCATGCCCCTTTTTAACTCCTAAAATATCCCAAAAATGTAGCTACCTAAGTGGCTACAGTATAGTATATACTCAGTAGATCATGTAGCTTTATGGTAAATGCAATGTTTTTTTTTTATACTTAACCCATTGCTTCATGAGCATTTTGTGAAAAATGGCTGTTTTCATTGAAAAGTCTCCCGTTACAAGTTCAAATTGCTATAATACTATAAAAACTGCTTCAACACTAATCAAACTTGGCACAAATGTTGACTGGACCATTGTCATTGCAACAACATGCTCAGACTTAAATTTTCTGTTACCATGGCAACGAGGGGACATCTCAAAATTGCCAAAAATCACTATTTTGCGTTGATTTTTTCCATCAAAATTGATTTCAAAGTGCTGCAACTTATCAATGGATTGAGATAGAGTCAAATGCTTTTCAGCGTTGGTTACACGTTACCTTATGATCAATCTGGGGTCATTTACAGCCTCTCACAAGTCCAAAATTTTCTTGGCGATGAGGGGGACTCCGCCCCCCTTCAAACCCCCCAAAACAGAAGGGGGCACATCCCCCTTCTGGCAAACCCCTGATGTATCTTTTGGTTGGGGGGCCGCGCCGAAAAAGAGGTCAATTTTTTTTAACAACATTTCTCAAACAAAAACAAGTGTTTGGGGGCCTAAATAAGGCATTTTTTCATCATTTGAGACAACAAAAAGGGGGGGGGGGTGAAAAAAGGCGTTAAAAAGGCGTGTATATGAAGTAATGGGTAACTGAAAATGATGAAAATACTTGAAATTACCCTAAAATCGCGTTTTTTTTCATGTTTAAACATGGCCTGTCATATAAATTTGAAGAAAAATTGTTGTTTTGTAGATTTTTTTATTTTTTTCATTAACCCATTGCTTCATGAGCATTTTTGTGAAAAATGGCTGTTTTCATTGAAAAGTCTCCCTTACAAGTTCAAATTGCTATAATACTATAAAAAACTGCTTCAACACTAATCAAACTTGGCACAAATGTTGACTGGACCATTGTCATTGCAACAACATGCTCAGACTTAAATTTTCTGTTACCATGGCAACGAGGGGACATCTCAAAATTGCCAAAAAATCACTATTTTGCGTTGATTTTTTCCATCAAAATTGATTTCAAAGTGCTGCAACTTATCAATGGATTGAGATAGAGTCAAATGCTTTTCAGCGTTGGTTACACGTTACCTTATGATCAATCTGGGGTCATTTACAGCCTCTCACAAGTCCAAAATTTTCTTGGCGATGAGGGGGACTCCGCCCCCCTTCAAACCCCCCAAAACAGAAGGGGGCACATCCCCCTTCTGGCAACCCCCTGATGTATCTTTTGGTTGGGGGGCCGCGCCGAAAAAGAGGTCATTTTTTTTAACAACATTTCTCAAACAAAAACAAGTGTTTGGGGCCTAAATAAGGCATTTTTTCATCATTTGAGACAACAAAAAGGGGGGGGGGGGTGAAAAAGGCGTTAAAAGGCGTGTATATGAAGTAATGGGTTAACTGAAAATGATGAAAATACTTGAAATTACCCTAAATCGCGTTTTTTTCATGTTTAAACATGGCTGTCATATAAATTTGAAGAAAAATTGTTGTTTTGTAGATTTTTTTATTTTTTTCATTAAACATAACAATCCTTTGGAATATTCCATTACTTTGACGAGACTGGCCTTGAGCTTGAGTCATAAATGACCTTGACCTACAATGTCAAATTATTGAATTTACCTTTTTCTTTTATTTTGCTATAACTGGCTATTAGGTTGTTATTTATGAATGGGTTGTCTTCATAATATGACAATATTATTAAGACACAATAAATATCTTTTAGGACAAGACCAGTATATTAAAATCCAAACTAACTTTGCTCCTGACTTTGAAATGACCTTAACCTCGAAGGTGTATTTATTGATTTGTCACTGTTTTTTTTTTTGCTTTGATTGTCTGTAATTTTGTAATTAGCTGTAGCATATGTGAATTATTCATACTTAGATAAAAGCAGTAAGCATGTGTCAAGTTTCATTACATTTACTCTGACAGTTTAAATTTAATATATAAATATTAAAAATTAAATATAAAATACATGTTATAAAGAATGTTAATAGTTTGTAATTGTACCAATAAAATAACTTTTTACACTTAGATCTAGAACTACTGGACAATGTTTCTCTGTGGATATTTATTTTTAGTAAATACTAGGCTTACTCTTAAAGCCTAAAGCCAAGCTGTTAGATTTATATTTAAGTAATCACACTTAACTTTTAGACTGACAGAAAAACATTTTTCTTGAGCTGAATACAAGCAAAAATCAAATAAGGTACATATTACTGCCTTTTTATATGCCCGAAAGAATTTCGGACATATTATGTTATACACCCTGGCGTCCGTCCGTCCGTTAGCAATTTGGTTTCCGGAGCATAACTTAAGTTCCATTTCGCAAACTCAAAAATAAAACTTCATAGGATGATTGTCCATATGGGGTAGAAGACCCCTATTGATTTTGGGGTCACAAGGTCAAAGGTCAAGATCACTATTACCTTAAAACTGAAAACAGTTTCCGGAGCATTACTTAAGTTCCATTTGGCCCACAATATTCAAACTTCATAAGATGATTGTCCATATAAGGTAGAAGACCCTTATTGATTTTGGGGTCACAAGATCAAAGGTCAAGGTCACTATTACCTTAAAACTGAAAACAGTTTCCGGAGCATAACTTAAGTTCCATTTGGCCCACAATATTCAAACTTCATATGATGATTGTCCATATCGGGTAGAAGACCCCTATTGATTTGGGGTTACAAGGTCAAACGTCAAGGTCACTATTACCTTAAAACTGAAAAAAGTTCCCGCTCAATAACATAAGTATTAATCAACCTACAGCTGTGAAATTTTATAGGTTGAACAGCCAAGTCAAACACATGACCCCTATTGATTTTAGGGTCAAAAGATCAAAGGTCATGGTCACAATGACCTTTACAATGAAAATTGTGCTTTCTGGAGTTCCATTTGGCTTACAGTGTTCAAACTTCATAGGATGATTGTCTACATTGAATAAAAGATCCATACCTATATAAGGGTCACAAGGTCAAAGGTCAATATCAACTGACCTTTATATTGTTAACAGTTTTACAACTGTCAAACTTCATAAGATGATCACTTATATTGAGTACATTACATGTAATTATATGCCCTAAAAATTTGCTTATATTATGTTATACCCCTGGCGTCTTTCCGTCCATCCGTCGTAGCATTTTTACTTACAAGATAACAACTTGATGGTGGTGCTTTGGAAACAGCAACTGTATATATATATGAAGGTTCTTCAGCCATAAAGGATGATTGCTTTTTTAAAGGAGGTAATACTTTATTTAATTCCCATGTCTTACAAATGCTTCATCCTTACTAAAACAAAATCACTTTCGGGCATATAATGCTCCGCCTAGCGGTGCTCTTGTTGCTCAGTATGTTTTTATAAAAATACCAGTTGTATGAAAATCTATACATTTTAGGTCCTACGTTTCTTTTGGGCCGGTATTTGAATTACCCATATAAGGACGAGTTTCATATCATCAACAACCATGAGAGATACTTTCACCATTTGCATGGTTCGGCTTGGCACTCATTAGACGGTGATATCATTATGTACATCTTCAATAATTCACCACGAAAACTGACATTTATTGTATGTGCGTGTACCGTTATAATTGTTATTTTATACTCTAAACGAAGAAACAAGAACAAATTTAGTGCTTTTCAAAGGAATGTTTGAAGATCATCTTTGATACTTACTATGTGTATACTAAAGTGTTGAGGACTGCATATCAAATAAGTCGGTGCTAGAGAGCGTGAGAAAAATTGTCACATCTTAAGAATATACTTGAAGAAATCTAGACTGCAATGTTAAACCGCTTTTAAGCATTACCTTTGAAGAGCCCCCACCCCCTAAAATATATCATTGCATCAAAATAAAATTGTGAAAAAAAGTTGTTTTTTCTTTTGGCTTATGTACCAAAACATACTCCGAAATATAAACAATAACAAACATGACATGACATGGTTTTAATTTTTTTATTTTACCTATTAATTATCTTTGCTTTGTCCACTATTTTGGTACAGCGTTCACCCCTCTAAAACATCGAAAACGAAAGGTAACAAGGAAAAAAATATTAACATACATCCGTAATGTAATATAGGTACGATTGCCATACTAACTTCTGTGAAGACTTTTTATGCTTGCTGCATGAAAGGTGTTTATGTAAAATGAACAAACATGTCATCAGATAAATTTTATTATATCTTTAAACATTTTCATGGAATTAAAATCATGAAAATTTAAAATTTGTAATATAAAATCCGTGAATAAATGTTATCATAATATTATGAAGTTGTATGCCTTCAAGATGAGAAAAAATGATTTCAAGAAAAGAACAATGCACGACCAATTTACTGCTTTAAAACATAAACACAAAATTACACATCTTCCACTGAACAGACCATATGAAAATCTTGCAAACCCACATAAATAGAAATATAAACAATAAAAACCCGTTTTTGCTCGAGCATTTCTTTGTTTTCTGAACTCGTAAATCTGATCTTTGGATAATCACGTGATACTGTAATGGCAGCCATATTACGATACGAAAATGCCTGGTCCTCCTCGGACAGTTTCTTGAGCCGAAAACATAATTAATAGGAAATTAATACTTCCATTTTAAAGTTTGTTTGCTGATTTACTAATTGAAAAACCTTTTCTCTACCCGACTATGTTGAAGTTTTGTCATTGGCTGAAACTATCACGTGATAAATACACATTAAGGTGTGAACTAGTTTCATGGTCATTAAAATTATGCACTGGACATATAACAATTTTATTTACAAATAATTTGATAAAACAATCCCACAATCATTTAAAATAATTGAAATCATTGAAAAATAATAAATGCATATAAATTGTAAATTTCTGTAATATGACAACTTACCCTCTTAACAAAACATAATAGACTCAACCGAAACAAGCGTCTGCTTCTTTACCTAATTATGTAGTCGCATGACCATGATTTGCAAAACAAATTTAAGAGCTAAAGCTATTGTAAAAACAAGTACAAATGTTGCTGCAATGCAATTGAGAAGCCCCGCGCAAAAAATGCGCTCATTACGGATACCTTAACAAATTATTCCTACGCACAGGTCATGTTATATTCAGATTAAGTACTATTGTAGAATTTTTCCAAATGTTTTGTAAACCATTTTTTTGCATAATTATACTTGTCCATAATTAAAAAGAGGGGCCAGATATTTGATTTGAAAAAAATGCTTTCACTGATGCCTACCTTGTAAGGAAAGTAATTCCATTGCAACCAAGACTTGCAAGACTTGTAAATGTTATGTAACATGACTGTAACATGACTGTACTGTGTTCTGTTTGTGTCACTACTGTAGTCAGTAACATAAGATGATAAAAATATCAGTCTGTTTTTTTATTATTATAATTGTAACAAATATACACATAGTAAGAAAAGGGACTAATATTATAATATAGTGATATTACATGCATTTTTTGCTGCTGGGCTGCTAGGCTGCCAACTTCACGAACATTAAAAAGGGCGAGTAGACAACTTTGCATACCAACGAAACAGACGTCTAGTGTTTGTTTTTGTCTGTTTGTTTTTTTTTTTTTTAGTTTAAAATTTATTGAATACGGGAGATTTGTTGCTATAACATCAGTTTGAAGGTTGCAAAGTAACAAATTTGTGCTGTAAAAATATCAATTATAAATACATGTATAAGAAAAGTTTTATGGTATAAATACGTACTTGTTCATTTTACATATTTTAAAATTAATAGAAAGAGTTTGAAATCATCACCAATATGTTGTCAATATAGCCTCTAGATAGTCACGAAATGTTAGGATATTGCTTCTTCTTTCAAAATTTTCTCGGGGGAGCATGCCCCCGAACCCCCCTAGTTAAGGAGTACATTTCAAAATAGCTCACTTACGCCCCTGATTGTTGTGTTAAAGTCTGACGATAATCCCTTTAAGAATAACACAGATACAGCCACTAATAGAAAAAAAATCAAGCAAAATTTAGACATTTCACCTTGAATGTCAAGGTCATTTATGAAAGAAGGTGAAGTTTAGTCTGGTGTACCCAAGGGTTGTTGATATCAAATATGAAGACAATACACTACGAACTAAAAAAGTTGTGATCAACGTTAAAGTTTTTTGGGCGGCAACACAAACACCGCAATGAGCGGTGATTCCTAGCATAAAAATGTATGCTTGTTGATTTAATACAAACACGTTATTTTATTGAAACTGACAGAAACATGTGAATATGCAAAAATTAATAATGATTATGAATATAATACACCGGAAGATGTCAGCAAAAATATGAAAATCATCATATCAAATATTAAATAAAATACATACACGCGGTGATGCATGTACTCAGCACAAAAACAATGTCAAGTCGACCTGACATTCTAAAATTATTACATTGTATATTGATACAGTTCACCTGCCAAGATGATATTGACGGAGAGGAGTATATGTATCACATGTTTATATCTCAATGTTATCCATTATGTTGGTTACATTCTTAATCACTCATATGCTTACTGAAATGTGAATATTTCAAACGTAGATACATAACTATGCAATCGTCGAATTTTGATGTATCAGTAAAAATGTATTTGCTGCTTATTAAATGTAAGTGATAAATGGTTTATTAATTTTACCACTTTACATATCGCAAACTTTTTGACTATAAAAACAAACTAATTCAAATGTGTTCCTAAAATAACAAATGTTTCGAAAAGCATTCTGTTCTGTCATTTACGTGAACAGTTTTGGTGTCATATTAAACTCCAAATTAAATTTAATCTTATTAAACTACAAATTAAATTTAATGGGGAAAACCGATAAATGATAAATAAAATGTAGTAAACATCAGTTTACTTTCAAAAACATGTAAATAAAATTCTGTTCAAGTGACTTATAACAAGTATGTTAGGAGTAACTTTCATTATTTTAGCGCGAGGGCTACAGTTGTAAATTCATTTCAAACCTATTTCACAATTTTCACGTTTCCGAAATATTTGGACCATATGAACGACCGGAATAACCATTATCACTCGATCAGTAAATGCCTTAAAGTAAATGTTTTGGTTGCTATCTCGTAAACTTCTGCTTTGATATCTAAATGACTTTTACGTTATGTCATGGTATTAGTCAGGTATAAACATGTTATGTCATGAGAGTAACTGCTTCTATTAGTAAATGTAAAGTATTCTTAGATACACATTGTACATT